GAACTATAATTTGGGAAAGTATAAATTTCACTAAAATATATTGTAAAATTTCCAAGTTTTCATATGAAATCAAGAAAATGCAAACTTTAAGCAAATTGGTTAGAATATATAGAAAAAAGATGGCATCTGTTTAAGGATATGGGTTAGAATTACTGATATCATTAAATAGATTTTGATATAAAAACTAGAAACATTTAATCATGTGTGGCTTACATACACTTAATAGATCATTTTAATTTTTAGCTTATTGCTCTCCCATAATGCTTTAGTGCTGACTATTGTTTCCTGTTCCACTATTGTAATTTCTGGAACAATCAAAAGTACTTTAGCTTATCATTTTTTCCAGAATAAACATGTCAGTTACTTGAATTGATGAGAGAATCTCTAGAGACTGTCATGTCAGTGTTCCTGGGTTAGGAACAATAAAAATAGGAGAATCAAAGAAAGAAACAAATTGTTGTCAGTAAATGTATTATCTTTTCATCTGTAAAAATTGGAAGATAAAGGAAAGTGCTGAAAACCAATAAAGTATAGAAAGCAGACATCACTTGAGAATAACACTTGAAAACATAATTATATTTTGGAATATCATTAACTTTTCCATCCACTTCTTAACTGGTTTCAATGATTTGAAAGACCTTTGCAGAATTAGTTTTAGCTTGTGGAGTGTAGCAGAAATTAAAATCAGCATGTCATGCTTACGTCTATGTCCACAAATAGATATTATGTAGGCTCCCATGGAACCAATCAGAATCGCTCACAGGAGTGTATTAAAAGAAGCAGTAAACCCTTTCTTTCTCTTTTTTTCTCTCTCTGGACATTGTCAGTTTGTCATTGTAGATAGATACATGTGTTAACATCTCTCAAAATGAGGCTCTCAAAACCAGGACACATTTTATCATCCTAAAAAGGACTCACACAACTGTACATTTCAGATATGGATATTTTATACACCAACTATATGTATATATTTCTTATTTCTTATTTGATTGTTATGAATTGTTTTCTATGTATGTCACACTAAATGGTTCAGTCTTATTTACTGGTTGTATCCAGTTTCGCATGATTTTCCTTTTTCTATTTTTCTCTCCAAATCTGTTTTTTATGACTACTTGGATTAATGGGAAAAGCTGACAATAACATAACTCATTATTCTCATGCTACCTGAACATTTGAATTTGTTTAGGAATTTACCTTTAAAAGTTTTAACTAAGAAAAGAAAAATACCTGCAACAAACTCTACTGAATAAAAATATACAGGGTGACTCAAAAGTAGGCACCTATATTCTGGGAAGTGATGTTGTTAGTATTTATCTTGCAGATTATTAATTTTCTTAGCTAATTTTTTTGTGTTCTTGTTTCATCAGTGGCTTGATGAGAACTTACCTACAATGTGGATTGAATGCCACAATCCAATTGAGTGGCCAGCACTATCCTCATATCCCCCCCCCTCCACTTCAGATTTCTTTCTTTGGTGGCTCATGAAAGACTTTGTTTATTGGGAAAAGCTTTTTCATACCATTTAGAAATAGAAAGCTCAAACCACTGCAAATGCAACTGTGTATTGATCACAGCGCAGGATATTTTGAATACTGCAAGTAAAACAGCTTGGCACATTTGCTCACTAATTTTCCCCAAACTAAATGTTTAGATTAACATGTCTTTCATTGATTTCTACCTTCTTGTACACTTTAATACAAATGACAGATAAAAAAAAAATCAACTGACAGAAAGTGGGTGCTATTTTTGTCACACCCTGTATACATTTGTCGGCAAATAAATCATGATAAAAAACTTATATAAAAATGCTCCTAAGAATGAAATGCTTCGTACTTCAGCTGACTTATAATATGATCAAAGCAGGCTTTCATTCACATAATGTGTAAAGAAAGTTAAAAGCATAGTGTGACATTTTATGCTACAAGAAAATTGACCCTGGTTTTTATATATAGGGTGAGTCAAAAGTAACACCCAAATTGTGGGAAGTCATGTTGTTAATATTAACTTGCAGATTTTTAATTTTCTTCATTAATTTTTTTGCTTTTTTCTTTCATCAATGGCTTGATGAAAACTTTCCCAGAATGTGGATTGAATGCCACAATCCAATTGAGTGGCCAACACTCTCCTTATATTTCCCCCCTCCAAATTTCTTTCTTTGGGGGCTCATGAAAGACTGTCTATTTTGAAAATCTTTATCATACCATTCAGCAATAGAAAGCTCAAACTACTGCAAATGCAACTATGTATTGATCATGGGGAAGGGTGTTTTGAATATTGCAAGTAAAACAGCTTGGTACAGTTGCTCAATAATTTCCCCCCAACTAAATGTTTAGATTAACATGTCTTTCATTGATTTCTGCCTTCTTGTACACTTTAATACAAATGGCAAATAAAAAAAATCAACTAACAGCCATAAAACAGAAAGTGAATGCTATTTTTCTTGTACCCTGTATGTATTTGTGGATAAATGAATCACAGTGAAAAAAAACTTATATACAAATGCTCCTAAGAATAAAATACTTTATACTTCAGTTGACTTATAAGATGATCAAAACAGGCTTTTATTGACATAATGATTAAAAAAAGCTAACAATGTAGTATGGTATGTTTTGTGCTACAAGACAACAGATTCTGGTTTTTTATATACAGGGTGGGTCAAAAGTAGCACCCAGATTCTGGGAAGTCATGTTGTTAATATTTGTCTTGCAGATTTCTAATTTTCATGTTTCTTGATGGAAACTTTCCTAGAAAGTAGATTGGATACCATGGTCCCATTGAGTGGCTGTCATGTTCCCCAGATTTTTTTCTTTGGGATTCATGATAAACATTGTTTTTATCGTGAAAAGCCTTTGTACCATTCAGAAATTGAAAGCTCAAATCACTGAAAAAGTTTGAGGAAATTGATATTGAACTCTGCAAACATATCTTCTACTCAATGCCTGATCAGCAGCAATTGTGCATTGATCATGAGAGGGAGGGGCTTTTTGAACATTGCAAGTAAAACTGTTTGGTACAGTTCTCTAATAATGTCTTCCTGAATAAATGGTTAGATAAACATTTCTTTCATTGTTTTCTACCTTCTTGTACACTGAAATACAAATGGCAAACAATCATTGATTATGAGAGGAGAGACATTTTGAACATTAAAAGTAAGACTGTTTGGTACAGTTCTTTAATAATGTCTTCCTAAATAAATGGTTAGATAAACATTTCTTTCATTTTTTTTACCTTCTTGTACACTGTAATACAAATGGCAAACAATCATTGATTATGAGAGGAGAGACATTTTGAACATTGCAAGTAGAGGAGACATTTTTTGAACATTAAAATAAGAGAGAAAAATAAGTACATTTCTTTCAATTAAAATAAGAGAGAAAAAAATAAGTTAGATAAACATTTCTTTCAATTTTTTAAGAGAGAAAAAATAAATACAAATGGCAAAAAATCAGAGAGAAAATAAGGAGAGAAAACATTTTTAAGAGAGACAAAATAAGCAAGAGAAAATAAGAGAAGAAAATTTGGAGAAAAAATAAGAGAATAATGTCTTCCTAAATAAATGGTTAGATAAAATAAGAAATTCATTTTTTTTTCCAATTAAATAAGAGAAAAATAAAATGGAAAACAATCATTTCAATTAAAATAAGAGAGAAAAAAATAGCGAGACATTTCAAAATAAAAAGAAGAAAAATAAGAGAGAAAAAATAAGAAGACATTTCTTTCAATTAAATAAGAGAGAAAAATTTCTTTCATTTTTTCTTTCAATTAAAAGAGAGAAAAAAAAAAAAAATGGCAAAAAAAGAGAGAAAAATTGATTAAGAGAGAAAAAATAAGGTAGACATTTCTTTCAATTAAAGAAAAAAATAAGAGTGTTTTTCTTTCAAAAATTAAAATAAGAGAAATTAATAAGAGAGAAAAAATAAAAAAATAAGAGATAAATTAAAATAAGAGAAAAAAAGAGAGAGATTTCTTTCAATTAAAAGAGAAAAAAATAAGAGAAACAATTTTTCAATTAAAGAAGAGAAAAAAATTTGAGAGAATTAAAATAAGAGAGAAAAAAATAAGAGAGAGAAAAAATTAAAATAAGATAAGAGAGAAAAAATAAGAGTAGAGATTTCTTTCAATTAAAATAAGAGAAAAAATAAGAGAGACAAAACTTTAATAAAAATAAGAGAGAAAAATAAGAGAAAAAAAGAAAAAATAAGAGAAAAATAAGAGTAAAACATTTTTTCAATTAAAAATTCATTTAAAAATAAGAGACAAAAATAAGATTAAAAAGAGAGAAAAATAAAGAGAAAATTTCTTTCAATTAAAATAAGAGAAAAAAAGAAGAGAGAATTTCTTTCAATTAAAATAAGAGAAAAAATAAGAGAGACATTTCTTTCAAGAAAATAAGAAAAAAAAAAGAGTAGACTGAAATTAAAAAAAGAGAGAGAAAATTTCTTCCTAAATAAGAAAAAAAAATAAGAAAAAACATTTCTTTCAATTAAAATAAGAGAGAAAAAAAGAGTAGACATTTTTCTTTCAAATTAAAATAAAGAGAGAAAAAATAAGAGAGAGAAATTTCATTCAATTAAGATAAAAAGAAAAAAAAAGCGTAGACATTTCTTTCAAAAAAAAGAGAAAAAAAAAAGAAAATAAAAAATAAGAGAGACAAAAAAGAGAAAAAAGAAAAAAAAAAAGAGAAAAAAAAAGAGAAAAATAAAATTTCTTTCAATTAAAAATTTGAGAAAAAAGAAGAGAGAATTTTTCAATTAAATAAAGAGAAAAAAAATAAACGTAGACATTTCTTTCAAAAAAAATAAGAGAGAAAAATAAGAAGAGAAAAATAAAGAGAAAAAAGAGAAAACATTTCTTTCAAAAATAAGAGAAAAATAAGAGAGAGAAAAAATAAGAGAAAAATAAGAAAATTTCAAAGATTAAAAGAAGAGAAAAAATAAGAGAAAAATAGAGAGAAAAAATAAAAAAATAAAGAAAAAATAAACATTAGACAGAGAAAAAAATTAAAATAAGAGAGAAAAAAGAAGAGAAAAAAAACAATCAATTAAAATAAGAGAGAAAAATAAGGCGTGACAAAAAAAAGAGAGAAAAAATAAGAGAAAAAAGTTCTTTAAGAAAATAAATAAGATAAAAATTTCTTTCATTTTTTCACCTTCTTGTAGAGAAAAAAAAAAAAAAGAAAATGGGGAATTAATATAAAGAAAAAAATAAGCGTAGACATTTTTCAAAAAATAAGAGAGAAAAATAAGACAAACATTTCTTTCAATTAAAAAAGAGAGAAAAATAAGAGAGAAAAAAAAGAGAGAAGAAAATAGAGAGACAAAAACATCAAAAGAAGAGAAAAATAAGCGAGAGACAATTCTTTCAAAAAAAAATAATTGAGAGAAAAAATAAGAGAGAAAAAAATAAGAGAGAAAAATAAGCTTTCTTTTAATAAGAGAGAAATAAAATAGAAATTTCTTTCAAAAAATAAGAGAAAAAAAATAAGATAAACAAAATTTTAGAGAGAAAATTTTAAGAGAGAAAATTTCTTACTCAATAGAAAAAAGAAGAAAAAAAAAAACATTTCTTTCAAAGAAAAGAGAGAAAAAAATAAGATTAGACAATTCTTTCAATTAAAATAAGAGAGAAAAAATAAGAGTAGACATTTCTTTCAGAGAGAAAATAAGAGAAAAAAATAAGTTAGAGAAATTTCTTTCAAAGAAATAAGAGAAAATAAGAGAAAAAAAAATAAAGACAAAACTTTCAATTAAAAAAAAAAATAAGAGAGAAAATTTGAAGAAAATAGAGAAAAATAAGAAGAAAATAAAATTAAAAGAGAGAAAAAAGAGTAAAAAATTTCTTTCAATTAAAATGAAAAGAAAATAAAAAAAAGAAAGAAAAAATTCTTGAAGAGAAAAAATGAGAAAAAAAGACAAAAATTTCAATTAAAATAGAGAAAAAAAAAATAAGAGAGAAAATTCTTTCAAGAAAAAAATAAGAAAAAAATAAAGAGAGAAAATTCTTTCAAAAAAATAAATCAGAAAAAAATAAGAGTTCAATTTTTAAAATAAGAGAGAAAAAATAAGAAAGAGAAAAATAAAAGAGAGAAGAGAAATTAAAATAGAGAAAAAGAACAATTCTTTCAATTAAAATAAGAGAAAAATAAGCCTAAATAAAAAAAAAATAAAGAAAAATAAGAGAGAGAGACATTTCTTTCAAAGAAAATAAGAGAGAAAAAAGAGAGAACATTTCTTTCAATTAAAATAAGAGAAAAATAAGCATAGACATTTCTTTCAATTAAAATTTGAAAAATAAGAGTAGAAAATTTTCTTCCAAATAAAATAAGAGAGAACAAAATAATTAGAAAAAAAAAATCACAGAGAAAATTAAAATAAGAGAGAAAAATAAGAGAGACAAAAAGAATTAAAATAAGAGAGAAAAAATAAGAGAGACAAAAATTCAATTAAAATAAGAGAAAAAAAAGCGTAGAAAATAAAATAAGAGAGAAAATAAGAGAGAAAACATCAAATTAAAATAAGAGAAAAATAAACATTTCTTTCAATTTTTTTATAAGAGAGAAAAATAAGAGAGAATTAATATAAGAGAAAAAAGAAACAACAAATCTTTCAAATTAAAATAAAAGAGAAAAATAAGAGTAGAACAAACATTTTCAAGAAAAAAAAGAGAGAAAAAAAGAGAGAAAATTTCCTTCAATTAATAAAGAGAAAAAAAGATAAAATTTTAAAATTGCATTTTTTCTTTTATTAAAAAGAGAGAAAAAATAAGAGAGAAAAATTTCATTCAAAGAAAAAATAAGAGAGAAAAATAAGAATGATAAACAATTCTTTTCAAGAAAAATAAGAGAGAAAAAATAAGCGTAAACATTTCTTTCAAAAAATAAGAGAAAAAAAAAATTAGAGAGAGAAAAAAAGAGAAAAATAAGAGAAAAAAATAAAAGAGAGAGAAAAACAACAATTAAAATAAGAAGAAAAAAAGAGAGAAAATTTTTCAATTAAAGAAGAGAAAAATAAAAACATCAATTAAAAAAAGAGAAAAAATAAGAAAAAAGTAGACATTTCTTTCAATTAAAAAGAGAGAAAAAATAAGAGAGGTAAAAGAGAAAAAATAAGAGAGAAACAAAATTAAAATAAGAGAAAAAATAAGAGAGAAAAATAATTAAAATAAGAAAAAAAATAAGCGTAACATTTCTTTTCAATTAAAATAAGAGAGAAAAATAAGAGAAAAAATAAGAGAAGAGAAAAGACATTAAAATAAAATAGAGAAAATAAGAGAAAAAAAAGAAATAAGATTAAAATAAGAGAGAAAAATAAGCGTAGACATTTCTTTCAATTAAAATAAGAGAAAAAATAAGCAGAGACATTTAAAGAGATTAAAATAAGAGAGAAAAATAAGAGAGAAACAATTCTTTCAAAATAAAAAAAGAGAGAAAAAAATAAGAGAGAAATGGACAAAAAGAGAAAAATAAGAGAGAGAAAATTTCAAAAAATAAAGAAAAAATAAGCGTAGACATTTCTTTCAAAAATAAGAAAAGAGAGAAAAATAAAAAAATAAGAGAAAAAAAAAGAGATTAAAAAAGAGAAAAAATAAGAGTAGACAAAAGAGAGAATTAAAATAAGAGAAAAAATAAGGTAGAGAAAAATTAAGAAAGAGAGAAAATAAGAGAGACATTTTTTCAAAGAGAGAAAAATAAGAGAGAAAAAAAAATAGTAGAAAGTTCTTTAGAGAAAAAATAAAGAGAGAAAAATAAGATAGACATTTCTTTCAATTTTTAAGAGAGAAAATAAGGAGAGAGAAAAAATAAATGTAAACAAAAAATAAGAGAGAGAAAAATAAAAAGAGAATTAAAAAGAGAGAAAAAAAAGCGAGACATTTCTTTCAATTAAAATAAGAGAGAAAAATAAGACTATTAGACAAAAAATGATTAAAATAAGAGAAAAAAATAAGAGAAAAAAAGAGAAAAAATAAGAGAGAAAAAAAAGAGTAAACATTTCAATTAAAAATAAGAGAAAAAAAAAGAGAGAGAAAAAAAGAAAAATAAGAGAGAAAAAACTTTCAATTAAAAAAGAGAGAAAAAAATAAATAGAAGAGACAAAAAATTAAAATAAGAGAGAAAAATAAGAGAGAGAAATTTTGTTCAATTAAAATAAGAGAGAAAAAAATAAGAGTAGACATTTCTTTCAATTAAAATAAGAGAAAAAATAAGAGACAAAAAAAAATAAGAAAAAAAAAGAGAAAATAAAAGAGAAAAAATAAATAAATCTTTCAAAAAGAGAAAAAATAAGAGAGAGAAATTTTTTCAAAAAAAATAAGAGAGAAAAAGAAAACAAGTAGAAATTTCTTTCAATTAAAATAAGAGAGAAAAATAAATTTCAATTAAAAGAAGAGAGAAAAATAAGAAAACATTTCTTTCAAGAAAAATAAGAGAGAAAAGAAAAAAAGAGAGAGAAAATAAGAGACAATTCTTTCAAATAAAGAGAAAAATAAGCGTAGACAAAAGAGAGAAAAAAGAAGAGAATAAGAAAAATAAAAAAAAGAAAAGATTGAGAGAGAAAAATAAGAGAGAAAAAAAGCGAAAGAGAGAAAAATAAGAGTTCAATTTTCAGAGAAGAAAAAAAATAAGAGTAGAAATTTCTTTCAAAAAGAAAAAAAATAAGACATTTCTTTCAAAAAAATAAGAGAAAAAAAAGAAAAGAAAAAAAGAGAAAATAAGAGAGAAAAATAAGAGAGAGAATTTCATCAAAAAAAGAGAAAAAAATAGCGAGAGAAAAAAAAAGAGAGAAAAATAAAATTTCTTTCAATTAAATAAGAGAGAAAAAATAAGAGAGACAAAAAATCAAGAAAATTAAAATAAGAGAGAAAAAATAAGCAGAGAATTTCTTTCAAAAAATAAGAAGAGAAAAAATAAGAGAGACAAAAAAATTTCAAGAGAAAAAAGAAAAAAAAATTTGAGAGAAAATTCTTTAATTTAAAATAAGAGAGAAAAAGGTTAGATAAACATTTCTTTCAAAATATTTAAGAGAGAAAAAAATATAAGAGAGAGAAAAAATAAAAGACTGTTTCTTTCAATGAAAGAAAGAAGAGAAAAAAAGAGAGAAAAAATAAGAGACAAAAAAATTAAAAATAAGAGAAAAAATAAGGTAGAGAAAAAATTAATTAATATAAGAGAAAAAATAAGGTTAGATAAAGAAAAATGAAAATTTTTATAAGAGAGAAAAAAACAGAATTTCTTTCAATCAAAAATTAAAATAAGAGAGAAAAATAAGAGAAAACAGAAAAAATAAAAGAGAGAAAAAATTAAAATACAAAAATAAGAGAAAAAAATAAGAGAGAAAATAAGAGAGAAAAAAATAAAATAAGAGAGAAAAAATAAGAGAGAAAAATTTTTTCATTTTTTATAAGAGAGAAAAATAAGCGTAGAAATTTCTTTCAAAAAATTGATTAAGAGAAATAGAAAGACATTTTTTCAATTAAAATAAGAGAGAAAAATTGGTAATTTCTTTAATAATGAGAAAAATAAATGAGTTAAAAACATTTCATTTTTTTTTTACCTAATATAAGAAATAAAAAGAGAGCAAAAATCATTGAAAAAATGAAGAAAATGAAAAAAAATAAGAGAGAAAAACATCATTTAAAAGAGAAAAAAGAAGAGAAAAATTTGAGAAAAAAAGAATAGAGAGAAAAAAAAATAAGAGAGAAAAAATAGATAAAATTTCAGAAAAAATTTTTTTTTTCATTAAAGAAATAGAAAATAAGAGAGACAAAACATTATGAAAGGAGAGAAAATTTTGAAATTAAAAATAAGAGAGTTTGAATAAGAGAGAAAACATTTCTCACAAAAATAGAGAAAAAAATAAAAAAATAAATAAAACATTTTTTCATTTTTTAAGAGAGAAAAAAAGAGAGAAAAAGCATGTAATAAAATAAAAAAAAAAATAAGAGAGAAAAATTAATGAGAGAGAAAATAGAGACATTTTGAACAAGAGAGAAAAAGACTGTTTGCGTAGAGAGTTCTTTAATAATGTCTTCCTAAATAAATAAGAGATAAACATTTCTTTCAATTTTTTTTAGAGAGAAAACACTGTAATACAAATGGCAAAAGAGAGATTAAAAGGAGAGACATTTTGAACATTGCAAAGAGAGAAAAATAAGAGAGTTTGTTAGATAAACATTTCTTTCATTTTTTTTTACCTTGTACACTGTAATACAAATGGCAAACAATCATTGATTATGAGAGGAGAGACATTTTGAACATTGCAAGTAAGACTGTTTGGTACAGTTCTTTAATAATGTCTTCCTAAATAAATGGTTAGATAAACATTTCTTTCATTTTTTTTTACCTTCTTGTACACTGTAATAAAAATGGCAAACAATCATTGATTATGAGAGGAGAGACATTTTGAACATTGCAAGTAAGACTGTTTGGCACAGTTCTTTAATAATGTCTTCCTAAATAAATGGTTAGATAAACATTTCTTTCATTTTTTTTTTACCTCTTGTACACTGTAATACAAATGGCAAACAATCATTGATTATGAGAGGAGAGACATTTTGAACATTGCAAGTAAGACTGTTTGGTACAGTTCTTTAATAATGTCTTCCTAAATAAATGGTTAGATAAACATTTCTTTCATTTTTTTTTACCTTCTTGTACACTGTAATACAAATGGCAAACAATCATTGATTATGAGAGGAGAGACATTTTGAACATTGCAAGTAAGACTGTTTGGTACAGTTCTTTAATAATGTCTTCCTAAATAAATGGTTAGATAAACATTTCTTTCATTTTTTTTTACCTTCTTGTACACTGTAATACAAATGGCAAACAATCATTGATTATGAGAGAGGAGACATTTTGAACATTGCAAGTAAGACTGTTTGGTACAGTTCTTTAATAATGTCTTCCTAAATAAATGGTTAGATAAACATTTCTTTCATTTTTTTTTACCTTCTTGTACACTGTAATACAAATGGCAAACAATCATTGATTATGAGAGGAGAGACATTTTGAACATTGCAAGTAAGACTGTTTGGTACAGTTCTTTAATAATGTCTTCCTAAATAAATGGTTAGATAAACATTTCTTTCATTTTTTTTTACCTTCTTGTACACTGTAATACAAATGGCAAACAATCATTGATTATGAGAGGAGAGACATTTTGAACATTGCAAGTAAAACTGTTTGGTACAGTTCTTTAATAATGTCTTCCTAAATAAATGGTTAGATAAACATTTCTTTCATTTTTTTTTACCTTCTTGTACACTGTAATACAAATGGCAAATAATCATTGATTATGAGAGGAGAGACATTTTGAACATTGCAAGTAAAACTGTTTGGTACAGTTCTCTAATAATGTCTTCCTAAATAAATGGTTAGATAAACATTTCTTTCATTGTTTTCTACCTTCTTGTACACTGAAATACAAATGGCAAACAAGAAACAGTCAGTTTTAAAAACTGAAATTGGGAGCTAATTTTGACTGACATTGTATATAGATAATTTTCAAGGTATCTCTTTAATAACCTTAGTCTATTTGACTACATATAGCATAAAAATATAAATAAAAAGAATTGAATTTACATAATGACTACAGAAGAAAATAATCCAGATATTGATACTTGAAGTATCTATCCTTACATACGAATGCTCCTAAGAATCTATCCTTACATACGAATGCTCCTAAGAATGAAATATTTCATACTTCAACTGATTTATAAGATGATCAATGCAGGCTTTCATTCACATAATGTGTAAAAAAAGTTAAAAATGTAGTGTGACATGTTTTGTGCTACAAGAAAATAGACCCTGGTTTTTATATACAGGGTGAGTCAAAAGTAACACCCAAATTGTGGGAAGTCATGTTGTTAATATTTTTCTTGCATATTTTTAATTTTCTTAATTAATTTTTTTTGTGTTTTTGTTTCATCAATGGCTTGATGAAAACTTTCTCAGAATATGGATTGGATGCTGCAATATGATGAGTGGCCAGCACACTCCCTAGGCCTTATTCCTTCATATTGTATAGATGAGCTTTGTATTGGGTGAACTAAAAGTAAAAAACAAAAAAAATCCTATTGTTATCGTTCTCTGCACATTATGCTGTTGACCTTTTCACCTCCTGGTTTTGGAACAGTTTACCATTGTTTTGTGAGTGCAGGGTAGATAACTCTAATGCAGAAAAAAGCAACAGATATTACAGAAAAAAATATAAAATATATGTGGTGTATATATCACAAAATTTATAATGGTCTTTTTGCTGTCTTCTTTTATCCTTTTTTACAAACATGATATACAGAGTAAGTCAAAAGAAGTGCCCAGATTGTGAGAAGTCATGTTGTTTTCTAGCTAATTATTAATTTTCTGAGTAATTTTTTTTTCTTTTTGTTTTGTCAGTGACTCGATGAAAACTTCCCTAGAATGTTGACAGGATGTCGTGATCCAATTGAATGGCCAGCACTCTCTTCATATTTCAACCTCCAGATTTCTTTCCTCAGGAGCTCATGAAATCCCTT